ACTGAGTGCTCGAGAAGCAGAGATTTTCACCTCTAGGCCTCTAGACCACAACGTGTTACATGCTTCGAGTAGACCCAAGTGTCTCTTAAGCACCCACATATTCGCGCGACTGACTTGTGTCATATAACCGGCCCGATTACAGCTTCGGGGCCGGATCCAAGTCAGACAACCAGATTCCCAACCAGTGGAACCAAAGAGCACGTCAAAATCCCGTGATTGAGGGCTGCGAATGTAAGATGTGTCGAACCAAAAATCAGTATTGATGTTTCAACGGCCCATGGGACAGCAGTATAAGGACGCGTGTCCCTTCCAACCCTAATGAGTGAGCAGATCACACTGATAAGGGACCAGTGAGTCCCACTAGGCTCACGTGTAGATCACATTTTTTCATCATAGGATTTCTGAGAGCTAGAGAATCGAAAGCTCACACATCGTTTGCGACATTCCATATAGATCTCCCAGACGACTAAGAGAGAATACCAGAAGCATGTGAGCCTGCAAGCGCATCTGTAACATCTTTTAGCACTATCTTAAATCCGTCACATATGGCGCAATACAGATTGGCCATGACCTTGCACAACAATTCAGTCCTAGTTGATAGACTTCCGAGCGTCACACCTAACGTTCAAGGTTAAATTGAGTAGTTTGACCTAAGAAAGAAGAAGCGCCCACACTCACAAACCCTGATTTTAATCCGCTGAGCAGGCATTGACCAAGAAATAGTCCTATAGAATGCCGTTCACGTCCAATTAAACCGAAACTATGCAACTATCGGTGTCCATTAGTTAAGGATCCACTCCCACACCAAGCTCCGTGATGAGCCTCTCGTGGTCCGAGGTTCCATCCAATTTACAATCTTCAGCGATATAATCTCTATACATGCCAGATTGACATCTAGTTTAACATTCGGGCGCTCCGCTGCAGGGTTTGAAGAAAGAATCCCCCGACACTTGTGACGCGCCGCACATTCCCATCGTAGATACCTTAAGCTGTTTACACGCCCGCCGCTGACTGGAGATATTCACTTTCCACAGGCAAGATCTTCAGTCCTTGCCATACACAGAAGATATAAAACATCGCTTATTCCTGTGTTCAACGTAGTGGTTGCTAACAGTCAATCGACGAGGGCTTCGGCAGATTCTTGGCCGTGCTTTTTACACGAGAGATGATTGATAAACCGACTCAGATCTACCATATAACGTAGAGCTCCCATATATTTACTTTGATGGCTTCGGTCTGAAACCCAAATGTGCAACACTCGAGCTCGCGATATCCGTTCCTTTCATCGTTAACCGATAGGTTCAACGTGTGATGCTAATACCGCGTTCCGAACTCGTAATAATCCCCATAGACCAAGTCTTACTCCGCTCTACGTTGGTCCACTTTTTGAATTGAGTGTTAGTCAAAATTGCCCGTTGCTATATTACAGCCAAACTCAATCAACGCTAGCACAAAGTCTCGACAGTAGGGCTCGGCATCAACATCTCTGCTGCCACATTCTACAGAGGCCGAGACCGCCGACGCCACAATCATGTCAGTAGAGAACACGCCTGAAGAGCAGTATTCAAACCTATCGGACACCGGCCGGGTTATAACATTCGTGTAAACCCTAGGTGACAGGCTTCTATCAGCGCCGGTCAACGTTACCCGATTCTTCTACACCAGAAAACGATCAGAAAGCCATGTTCGCCATCGTTCTGAGACAAACCGCCTATAATGGTACAACGCTTCCGAATCTCGCCCGCATTATCTGACGCACCAGCTCGATGAGGACAGACCCGTCAACCGTTTGTAACGCCTAGGTCAACGGCAGTCAAATTGCGCTTGCGACACAAAAACAGTCAACGTCTCGACGCTTCGAAATCCATTGGCGTCAACGCCGGTACAAGGTCGTAATCATAGCAGCTTCGGCCTCATCGGACTGTAACCTTTCTCCTGCGATTGCACCCCAGTGAACTTAGTGTGACTTGCAAAGACCGACCGTTTCTCCCCAGTCTTCACCCACCGCGCTGTTGCGAACCCAAGAGACAAGGTCAAACATTCAAACTGAGTCTCGAACACTCCTTTTCCTAAGAGCTGTCGACGCAAGGCCGGTCAACGCGTAACCCAGTATGTAATCTTTACACTAATACAAGAACAGCGCCGGGTAAGTAGCCAACACCTAGTTCGTCAAGAGATTATTGATCAAAATAGTCAACATCCAATAACACGCACGGCCAAAAAACAAAAGAAACTCTCTCATCAAGCTTTGTAGAATTTTGAGATCTTCGCAGTGTAGTCCACGAGCGCGACGGCTCCATCACAGGAGGCCGGCACAAACCCGCCGACGTTTTTGATGCCCAGAAAGTCACAGAGGCCTTAGCTCCTGACGGTCGAACAGGCCTCCAGCCAGCGATAAACACACCCCGAGAACTGACAACGGCAGTATTTAGAAAGGCAAACGATTTAATTTGACAGCCTCATACTCTCACCTATATTTATCACCCATCTGAATGTAAAGATGCTGCACAAATTTCTCGAAATGGCAAGGTATCTGTTGAAGAATACCGCAAAGCTATCTTACGATTTCTATAGGTCCTTACGCCCATGGATCTGAGCTAAGGCGCGATCAACTAGACAATTCACATCCAAAGGATTCCAGCCTAGTGACGACGGAATTCCCGTCCTTACCCGCCGGCCACAACCCTTTCTATACTAAATCGAGTCACAACGAGTCTGGAACCGCATTATGGCACGAAGCAGAAAATGTAGCCACAAGCCGCCCGGCCAATTCCACGCACATCAGCAGAATCGACTGGCTAGTAGTATTGGGTTGAGGAGATCCGCTGAAGTATACTTAACCGGTACAGTAAGCGTCTCCATGAACAGCTTGAGTGTTAAGCGAACGAACGATAAAAGCGTCCACCTATCCGCGTTCACAGGGAGTTCAATTAATTCGCCGTGAACTGATTGAACAGTCTTAAAATCGACGAACCTACGTTGAATCTCACTATAGTCAGCATCATATTACTATATTTGCAGTATCGTTTAGATACTTCCGCGCTCATGCAACTAATTCTGCACCATCACTATCAGGATAGGTACCGCGCTGCGTCCTCTAATCGGAGCATCCGAAACGCGTATATGAGTCCGGATTTTACGAAATTAGTGCAAACTCTACGTGATCATGCCCTCTCGACTTCTCACTACGTCCTCCCCAGGCTAAAAAGCGCGCATAGATCCACGTTCCCCTACGATTGGCGGAATGGTGAGACCCGACCATCAGCGAACTGATAAATCTTGCGGCCTTTCTAATCGTACTTCTAATCACTTCAATCCAGAGTTCAGACCTAAGAATATATACAGCCGGAGCAAACCGGGCAAATACCACCATAACGGAGCAGATCTGTAAATATGAAGACCCACAGTTCAGGTTGGATTCCAAGGTACATTCTCACTCGACCATAGGTAAGAGTCATCACCCTTCATGATTAGTAGAATTTCACTCTCTTCCCTTTATATCTTTTTTATTCAGATTTTCCGATTGCATGACTTCATGCTGCTTGCTCAGACAACACCGCCTGGAGACACCCCTGGGTCTCCAACGCATACATGGCCTTTGTCTGAGTTTTAACTGCCCATAACCCCTCCCAAGCCTCATAAATACCAAGCCTCAGACCTCATTTCTTTGACGATCTGATTTTAGAATTAGGCGAAATCTGCCCCCAATTGAAGAGAATGCCACGAATTTCAACTGCCTGAGAGGACAACTTCTTAGGTCACCTTCATGGAGTGACTCTTCCTCAGCTGATCGGAGGAAGATTGGACCGCGCCACTCAGGACTACTACGATTTAACGAGAGATAGAGATTCGTCCACGATCTACAGATATTTACGGCATCCGTAGTCTGCTTTATATTCCCGAGATGACGCCCCGTAAAGCCTTTAGCTTGGAAGAGTGCTTGTGCCTCTTCTCAAGCTACACTATGAGAGCTATTAATCCTTATATCAAGCGGCCGAAGTTTCCTTGAATCTTATTTCAAATATAAAAAGAGTCGTCCGTTGTGCGCCGAGATCAAGAGCTACGTTTCTCATCCTATCTGCGCATGAGAACAGGACCTTTCGCTCGAAGGCGACCCTCTGACCTTGGGGGCCGCCAATTTCTTTAGGCCCAATCAAATCCTGATCGCAACGGTGTGCAGTAGTTCACGGAATAAACCCCCGGAACATAGCACAAAACGACTCCCAGTTCACCCAAGTGCTCCTACAAGAGGCCTCATCTCCATCACC